AGCCAAACCCTAGCTAGCCTTTTGTCTGCTGTGGGCAGGTGTTGGAATTGGGTTTATTTGAGCTCTGCTCCTCCTAGGCATAGGGGTAGCATCTGTTTCCGTTTTGTTCCTTTGTTGGCCTCTTCTTTCTCTTTCTTTTCCTTTTTAATTGAAGTATAGGCTCCCTCCAGTGGCTAATCACTGAGCTCTTAATTCCCAAAGGCCACTGTCTTGAGCCCAGAGGTTAGAATCCTGGAAAGGCTGGGCATTTCTTCGCTGTTTTCTGAAGCAGAAGGAAGTTATGCCGAAATGTTTTCATTTTCATTTATATATTATTTGGTTCAGTGATGGGCTGGAAGTACTCCCCCCTTCCCCAGAACTAAGGGACTTGTGTCCCCCCCCCCCCGTTTGTTTATTAGGTAGAATCTGTACCTCAGAACTATGGCCTGCCACAAGTGGAGGTATGAAGCAGACTGGAAGGGCCTAGGGTAGCATGGGTGGCAGGGTCAGGGTGACAGGTCTCGGAACAGGAGGAGGAAACTTGGCGGGGGGGGGGCACTGCCAATCTGTCCTCCAGTGTTTTCTCTAGGTTCATTCCCCCTGCTGCTCTATCTCCTCCTCCCCTTTCCTAATGCCTAGAGTGCCAGAGTCAGGAGACCTGGGTTTGAATCTTGATTTAGCCACTTACCTGTGTGACTCTGGGCAAATTACCTCCTCTGAGCCACAGTTTATTTCTCTCTAAAATGAGGGCATTGAACTAATTGATCTCTAAGGGCCCTTGGAGCCTCTGTGACTAGGGGAGCACTCTAGCTTTTTTTAATTGATAAATTTGGTTTTAACATGGCAGTGGAACTTAACCGCTAAATATACTCTTGAAAAACAATCAAGTGAAACACAAGAGTGTTTTAAAATGATGCTTTTGTCATTGGCCATTTGTCAAAAGGAAGTAAAGCTTGGTGCTTTTAGCTAGTCAGTACCAACGTTGTCTAGTATCATTTTTCTGAGGTTTGTTTGTCTTTCATATGGTCTTCATTTATAGGATTGTAGTCATTGTATGTGCTTCTGGCTTTGCTTTCTTCCCTCTCTGGTGCTTCTTATTACACCCCTGTATCGTTTTTTGTTCAGTCACTTGCTCATTGATTGGCATGTGGTTTCTTTCTAGCTTTTTTTTTTACTATGACAAGTAGTGCTGCTATGAATCGTTTTGTGTGGCTAGGTCTTTTGTTCATGACCTCCTTGGGGTATCCACCCAATAGTGGGATCACTGGGTCAAAGGCTGTGTACATTTTTATACATTCATTTTTAACTTTTCTCCTGTAATTCCAAATTGTTCTCTAAAACAGTTGGACAGCTTGATCAGAAGGAAATTAGCATATCTGTCTCCCCAAAGTCCCTTCAATGTTGCTAATTTGATGGGTATGATGTGATACCTCAGTGTTGTTTTAATGTGCATTTCTCTGTTAGTGATCTTGAATAATGTTTTAGATAGCTGTTGATAATTTTCCTTTTGAAAGATGGTGGGGCTTCTTTGGGGACGGTGGTGGCAAAGCTAGTTTGTGAAACTGGTTAACACATTTCCTCATTCCTTTGAGTACCTGATAATCAAGACGCAGGTCACAGAAGAAAAATCAGCTTCTCCTTGTCTACCCTTGTGGGAGGTAAGCCCCAGTGAGGGTAACAGTGGGTAATCTTCAGATCAGTTATACTAACTCTTGGAGCACTGAAAGTGTTTTGGATATGTTGTCACACATCAGGCCTGTGAAGACAAGGGGGGAGTGCTGGTATTATCGCTATTTTACAAAGCAGGAAACTAAGACTCAAAGGGAGGGATCATGGGGAAGGGGCAGGGCTGGAACTTTCTATCTCAGTGGAGTCTCAATAGCCACCTTATAAGAGTTGGCAAGGATTATTTTTACAGGAAACCAAGGGTCGGAAAGGTTGAAGGAAAATTTGTTAACAGGGTGATAAACTCAAATCCTCAATTTGCTTTTTTTTTGAGGCAATTGGGGTTAAGTGACTTGCCCAGGGTCACACAGCTAGTAAGTGTCTTAGGTCAGATTTGAACTCAGGTCCTCCTGAGTCTGTGGCTAGTGCTCTAACCACTGCACCACCTAGCTGCCCTCTTCAATTTACTCATTTTTATTTTTTGTACTCATCTTTTAGGAGAAAGAGACAAAGATGAGAAAAGTAGCCTGAAATCAGCCTGGTAGGTGGAAAGAGCTCTGGATGTAGTAGCAAAAGACACATGTTGTTACCAAAGTTGTAACCAATAAGGGGAATGAGAGAAGGTGGCATTTAGATGGGGCTTTTGAAGGGATGGGTGACAATCAATAGGTAAAGGAGAGAAGGGAAGACATTCCAGGTACAGGAAGAGCCTGAACAGAGGGAGAGAAAGGAGGAGAGCACAGTGTGCATTGGAAGGTATGCAGAGGCCGGTTCAACTGTGGACCAGAATTCTAGGAGCTGAGGTTGGGAAGGGCCTTAATGCCAGGCGGGGGTGTTACTCCATAGACAATAAGGAATTACTGAAGATTGTATTAGAACAGATAGTCACTATCCTGAGCATGGACAGTGCTCATACTTGGCTAAAGCACAATGTTGCCCTGGGAGGCTCTTGAGAGATGTAGGGTTTAACTTGCCCCTGTACTGCACAGTCTCAGCCTGCTGGGCTATAACTGGCATTTTTCTCGCTTTGTCGGGGCAATCTCTGTCCCCTGATGTTACTGCTTTTGAAAAAATACCTCTCCCCCATTGAATCTTCCCTTGTAACAAAAGAAAAGCAGTTCAAACAAATCCAACCAACCATGTCTGACAGCATATGCCCACAACAACCAAGTCTGACAGTGTGTGCACGGCTCCGAATCCAGAGTCCTCTGCCTCCCTCCTGAGAGGAGGGACAGTCATTTCATCGTCTCTTGTAGGTGGGATTCTTGTACACATGTCGCTTAAACTGGCTGGCCTCCCAGTTCTGAGATTCTCCAATGGCAGTGTGAGCACAGAGGAAGGGACAGATGACAGGGAGGGTACAATGGACAGTGCCTGGCTGCTTTTGCAGATGGAGGATGATGGTGAGGGAAGAGCTGAAGATGAACTTTGTGCTTAGGCCAATGGGTGTTTGTGCCCTGTGTGTAGAGGAGGGTGCAGGGGACGGTGCTTGGGGCACGGCTCGTATATCGGAGTCAGGAGAGGTGCTGTCCTGAGCAGCAAGGCAGTGGGAAGGAATCAGAAGAAGCATGATGAGGAGTGGGGAATTTGGATCCAGGATCCAAGTTTTGTTGTGAACCGCCTACAGAATGCTTTTGGCATGAGGATTATGGAGAAATTAATGTGAGGTTTTCCCTTCCTGGGTTTTTTTCTCCATACACCTTTCTTGTTAGAGGAACCTACTTAGTGGGTTAGGTCCGTCTGCCATAGGAGGCAACATTTTATAGCAATGAGACCCTAGACCAGTCATTAACCTTTTTTTTAGATCTCAGTGCCTTTGTCTGTAAAATGAAGACAGCACCTAGCTCATCAGGGGGGTTGGGAGAACTTGTAGGAAATCCATACTGCTGTTAAGTAACAGTGAAGCCAAGCTGGCCTCTGAGTTGGCAGGGTCAGGGGTTAAGTCCTACCTTGGAGCAATACGGGCAGGTCATTTCAACTCAGTGCCCTGAAACTTCCCTCAATGAAATCCCAGGGCTGGCCTAAGATTGATAATAGTGATGATGATGACAATGTTGAAGATGAAGATCTAGAAGAAGGGAGTCCTTGCCCTTGAGCTTGAACTTAGTTAGGAAGACAGGGCTAAATTCAGTGAACCAAATAACTTGGTCAAAGTCATAAGTAGCAGAACCAGGATTTGAATCCAGGGCTTTTGACTGTAGATCTAGTGCTCTTTCCATTGTACCATGGGCCTCTCTCTCAGGTTGCCTTCTTGGGACTGTGGCACTAACTTTTACATAGTTTCCTTCTCCCACTATTTTTCTTACTAATTTCCAGTTGCTTCAGAAACTCCTGGCTCCTTGTACTAAACTGGTTGTGTGTGTGTGTGTGTGTGTGTGTGTGTGTGTGTCTATGTCTGTGTGTTAGCTATTTTCTTCTGGCCCTGGCCTCTTGTATTAGGCTGGCTTATATTGATTTCTGTGTTTTGTCACGCACCATCAGTTTTCCACTAGCTGGGGCTAATTCCAGGGGAGAAGAAGCCTGGATAATGCAAAAGCAATGGGTAACCCCAAATGTTTTTATTGGCTTTGAAAATTCCTGAGGCAAGCTCTCATTCTGACACTCCCACACACTGGCTCAGTGCCTAGCTCTGACCTCCACCCAGTTCAACTTCAATGTCAGAGACTGTTAGGGCTCAGCCCACCCAGGGAGACTCTGTGGTATTTAGTGGAAAGGATAGTAGACCGGAAGATTCCTGGGTTCAAATCCTCACTCTTGTACACACTAGTTGTCTGTATGACCTTGGGCCAAATCACTTCTCTCTCCTCTCTGGGCCTCAGTTTTCTCCTCTGTAAAATTGGATCGATAATCCCTGCATGACCTACTACACACTACTACACAGGGCCATTATCGAGAAAACAGTCTGGAAACCTTTGACGTGCATCGAAAGGGGGTGTTGTCATTAGTTGAGGAGGGATGATGTCCCAGATAAGCCACTCACAGATAATATAGAGTTGGCTGTGTGGCCAGAGCCTAGACATTCTTAAAAAAATTAACGAACTGAATGCTTATGTGGGATTGGAAACAATACCAGAGTCGCAGATGTTCATGGCACTGTGCCGATTAAATGTCTTGCAGTGTTCTATGTGTTTACCTCTTCCTGGTTTGTGAGGTGGAGAAGAGACATGGTCTTCCCACAGCTTTATGGGGAGCTGACCTGGGCGCCATCTCGAGGCATTTGTAGGTGCCATCACTTGGTGTCCCCCCGCCTGCTACCTGGCTCTGGTTTTGGAGCTTCCAGTCCAGCTGGGGCATCAAGGCCAGGAGCAGTGGATAAGTGAATGTGAGTGAAACTGTGCTTTTTTTTTTTTCTCCAGGTGCCGCTACTTGGCCGTTCAGCTGTCTCCTGCCATCCCTGTCTTTGCAGCTGTTCTTTTCCTCTTTTCCATGGCTACGCTGCTGCGGACAAGCTTCAGTGACCCTGGTGTGATTCCCCGGGCCCTGCCAGATGAAGCAGCTTTCATTGAAATGGAGATAGGTGAGCTGGGCTGGCCAAGAAGCCCCTGAGGGGGTGTAAGCTGCCAGCAGGACACTTGTCACCGTGCCCTGAATGATTGTGCAAGGATCATAAGAGCTAGCATCATCCCTGGCCTTCTGTGTAGTCCATTTTCCTCCTGAGCCTGCGTACTCATCCTGTCTTTGTGCTATTCCCAGAAGGTAGATGTGGGCGGCTGTAGTAAAGCCTCAATCTTCCCCAGATTTGGTGAAACTTGGAATAGGACAAGAGCTGGGGGTTGGCGCCAGGACACTTGGGTTTCCAGCTTGGCTTAGCCACTTACTAGCTCTAACAACCTTGGGCAAATCACTTCCCCTTTCTGGGCCTCAGTTTCCTCCTCTTGTAAAATGAGAGGTAACAACACTAGCACTTCCAGCTTCACAAGTGAGCTCCTGGAGGGCCAAAAGGGACAGTAGATGCTCGACCAAGCATTTTATAAACCCTAAAGTGCCCTGAATGTGGGTTGTCCTGTACCTGTCATGGTGCGTTTTCCCTTTCTAGAACCTGGGTTGTGAAGCCAGTGCTGGGGATGACACTCCCATCTTAGTGCACTGGAATTTCCAAGAAGCTTTCCTCACCCCAGTCCTGCCAGGGTTAATGTTGCCACCTTACAAATGAGAAAGCTAAGGTTTAGGAGCGTCCTGTGACTTGCTGATGCTCGCAGAGCTAATCGGTGACAAAGCTGGACCTTGAATCCAAGTCTAATAGCTCTAATAGACGAGGGCCTGACATCAGCAGCTGGAAAAACTGAGTAGGGTGGCAACAAGATTTACCCCCTGGTCATAGTGGAGTCTGTATCACGGCTGCAATTTAGATTGACCCTTGGATCTAAATCCCATGCTATTCCATCCTTAGCTGTATTTGCTTTAACTCTTTATGTCCCATTTGCTTGTGTCTATATTTTCAGCTTCCTGTCTCTGCGGGGTCGGGGGGGCGGAGGAAGAGCATATGTTTAGACCATAGTGGGGCTTCTTAAACTTTTTCCACTCCTGACAAACCCCTTCAGTGCTTTTTTGGTGAGACAATCAGGGTTAAGTGACTTGCCCAAGGTCACACTGCTAGTAAATGTCAAGTGTCTGAGGCCGGATTTGAACTCAGGTCCTCCTGACTCCAGGGCTGGTGCTCTATCTACTGCGCCACCTCGCTGCCCCCCCCTTCAGTGCTTCTTAAACTGTGGGTCGTGACCCCATATGGGGCTGCATAGCGCAAGAATGGATCTTAAGTCCAACCTCCTCCGCATTCCACAGATGAAGAAAGCAGCTCAGATATGGGGTAAATGACTTGCCCAAGGTCATCCAGGTAGGAAGTAGCAGAGCAGTTGTTTCTGGGAGGCTGAAGACTGTGCATAGACAACGATGGGTGAGGGCTGGCAGGCAGACCTGGGCTGGAATCAGGGTACTGCTCTTTGTTAACCTGTGTTGTCTTGGGCAAATCCCTGAATAAATCTGATTGCTACAATTTTTTGTTATGAGGGTTGACTCCCTGGGAGCAGAGAGGAGGGATAGAGGGGAAAACGCAGGTGATATTAAAACAAGATAGCAATAAAAATGGATTTTTAAAAGAGTTGCCGCATGCCATCCCCAAAGGATCCCAGACTGTTAGAGCAGGAAGGGATAACAATGATTTCCCATCCTCCACCAGAAAAAATGACAAAGAAAACTAAATTTCCAACAAGAAGGCATAGTCAAGCAAAGCAAATGCCCCCCGAAGAGTTTTCCCCATCGCCCTCTGTCAGCTTCGCCCTTGGGCTTCTCGGATCATGTTTGAGTGTTGCTTTGGACAGAGTTCTTTCTTAAGCTTTTCAAAATTGTTTGTTTTTACGAAGTTGAAAGGGTGGTATGCATTACTCTTTTTGATTCTACTCACTTCACTCTGCTTTGGTTATAAAGTATAAGTACAGACAGTTCTCACTTTATGTAAGTTTATATTATGCAAATTCAACTCCCTGGCTGGCTCTGGCCCAGGTGACAGCCACAGCAGCAGCAGTACTGGCGCAGCCCTGCTCCAGGAGTCCTTCATTCCAGGTTGCCCCAGCTGGGGGGGAGGGGTGGAGAGGTCACAGAGTTACATATGGGGCAGGGCCATGAGGAGCCCCATGAGGGGACAGGGAGGTTATGTTAAGCCAGAACGGGCTGTATACTTTTAGTATACCTCTAAATCTTCTCAGGTTTCTCTGAAACCACCCCCTTTATCATTTCTTACAGCGTCCACAATGGTATCCCATCACATTGATATAACATAACTAGTTCAGCCATTCCCCAATTGATGGACACCTCCTTAGTTTCCAGTTTTTTGCTACCACCAAAAAGAGCTGCTATAAATATTTGTGTACATAGAGGACCATTTCCTTTTATCTCTGGGATATAGCCTAGGAGTGGTATCCCTGGGTCAAAGGGTAGCAATTATTTTTTAAACCTTGGTGGATTAGAGTGAATTGTCTTGAGAATTATTTGATGAAATCCCCTGGGATCACTTGGCACAATCTAGGTGTTAAACCCAGGATGAGAAATGCTGATTTGGGGGTTGGGGGAATGTGCCAGAGCAGCTCATCTCTCTTTTGATTGAACTTGGCAATTACTCTCAGAAAGGTGTCAAAGACCACTGGGCTTGTGTCAGGCACCTACAGTCTGGATTGGATCTTGTCTTTCAGAGGCAACCAATGGCACAGTGCCACAGGGTCAGCGTCCACCCCCTCGAATCAAGAATTTCCAGATCAACAACCAGATCGTGAAACTAAAGTATTGTTATACATGCAAGATCTTCAGGCCCCCCCGGGCCTCCCACTGCAGCATCTGTGACAATTGTGTGGGTAAGCAGAACATTTTGAGGGGTTACCCTGGCCAGCTTGATCCTAGGCGTGGGTAGGAGTGTTTGGGTGCTGAAAGACAGCTCTTCTTAGGAGGCTGCATAAGCCTCACTTTATGTAATAAGGTGACAATTTAGTTAAGTTTTTAGAGATTTTAGAGACCGGCTAGTCTGAGAGTTCTTAACCTTTCTGTGTTTGGCATTCTGGTGAAGTCTTTGGACTCCTCAGAATACATTTTAAATTCAAAATTCAATTAGAGGTTAACAAAAATAAGGAAGTCAATTTTTCCTCATCCAAGTTCACAGGGTTCCTGGGAATTGGTGGGTCTTGGATTAATAATCCCTGGTCTAGTCTAACCTCATTTTGCAAGAAACTGAGAAAGCCTAGATTGGGCAAGGGACCTGGCCAAGGTCCCGCAGCTGACGTGTGGCAGAGCCAGGAATGAACCCCAGGGCTCTGGACTTAAAAGTCAGAGCTCTTTGCATGCCACAGATCCCCTGATGAATGACTCTTCTGGGAGGTGTCTGGCTTCCCCAACTGTGGCTGGGGAGACGTATCTGGTTGTGTGAATTCTTAGGGAGAGGGAAGAATATTTCCCTGATTCAGCAGTTGTGAATATCTGCATTTCCCTTGAATTTGTTTGTTTAAAGACATGGGGGCACGAGAGCCTTTGTCCACTGGAGGGCAGTAATGCCAGGCTTTAGCAGGCTGGCAGCCATGCATTGTGTGTCTGTACCTGAGAAGGCCTGCCTGTTCAGCATGCCCTCTCTGCCATGACTAGGTCTGCAGCAGGTAGTGCTCGCCATTCCAGTCCTCCCAGTTGGGGCATTGTCTAGAGGCCCATTGCTTAAATCCCTTTTATTGCTCGGAGCCCACATAGCATCCACACAGCACATTGCTTTCCTTTTACTTCCCAAGTGTCTGGGTGAGCCAGAGGACCCTGCTTTTAGTAGGTGGGGAAAGTTACACGTACACGGAAGCCTAATTCAAACGTTTCAGGAATGACATTTAATGAAGGCCTACAATGGATCCTTTTTGGTAAAACAAAGATCCTTCCTCACTTCCTCTGATTTCCTTTTTGTATCAGCCCCAATTTTAACATGTCAAGTTTGCTATTTTCATACAAGTTCAGAGTATACTTGTAACTCAAACCGGTGATCTGTGGGCAGCATGACAGAGTGCAAAGGCCAGTGGAATCTCAGCCAGCTCTGACACTTCAGCTCTGTAACCTGGCTTGCTTAAGTCCCTTCCATTCTGAGCCTTAGTTTGCTCTTCTTAAAATGGGGATAACAACATTTTCACTATCTACTTTCTGGTGAGGAGGCTGGGAGGGTCAAGTAAGACACAAGTGGACACATGGTGCTTGGAAAGTGCTAGAAATGTGAACTCTGAAAATATTGCAGGACAAATCCTGTTCCCTGTGCTGGTTTCCTCTAACACAACAGCCTCAGGAGATAGGGAGGACAAGAAACTTGGGACTCAGACAAGGGAAATGACTTGCTTGTGCTTACAAAGCTCTTATGTAGCAAAGGTGGGCTTAGAACCTAAGCAGTCTGGGTCTGAGTCCCATGGTCCTTCTACTGCACCAAACCTCTTTCCAAGTTGCCTAATATGATTTTTCCTTGGCCCCCAACATCAGTGTAAACTTGGGCAAGTCTCAGTTTCCTTTTTTGTAAAATGAGAGTGTTGGATTAGATAATCTTTAAGGCCCATTCCCACTCCAGATCTCTCAGACCTTTAAGCAGCCTGTGCATGCGTGTTCTATGTGCACACAAACACGTATATTCAGTGTGCTATATTGAACTCTAGAAATAGGAGCTGCTTTTGTTATAAATTGTTGGTTCTGAAGACATCCCCATTTACCACTACACACACACACACACACACACACACACACACACACACACACACACA